TCATATATTATGCCACATGGATACAAAGAGAGGAGGTTTTGGCCTATGCTTATTATAAAACATTTATGTCAGATAGTTCATAACTGTTAATTAGGAAAAATAACAAAGCTTTAAAATTCATGAGCACCATATTGAGTATTTACAGAAATGCAGTATGTTCCTCTTCAAGCATAAGCCTTTAAAAATGCTACACACCCTTTGATAGGCATATAGTGAAGCGTCTTTGTGAGTTCTCGCATGTAGGCTCATCCATCTCCTTATTGTAGTGGCTATACAATTGGTGTTTCATGTCTCAGTGTCAAATTCAACTGGTCTTGGAAGTGATGCAATATTTTTGTCTACTCAATTTGATACATAGACTATAACGTAGTTAATAAAATTAAAGTCAACATTACTTTCCATCCGACACTTCTTAGTGGCATCATGAAGCATTTTCTAGAGGTTGAAATCCTACCATTAAAGAATTGCTATACAACTATTAAAAATAGTATTTGAAAGATATCAGATCTCGCCTTTCTCAGCAGTTTTTTCAAGTATCTATTTATGTCACCTGGCAAGTGGAAGAGTGTAAACTTTATTACTCTCTGCTTAACAATTATTCCATTAAGGTTGAGTTAGACAAGGGGAAATGTCACTGCAACATGGAAACAGAAAATAAGAAGTAGCTACCTTTTGAATATGTAAATTCTTACCTTTAAGTCCACCCCCCCACCTTTCCATAAAGTAAACAAATATGTTAGGATGTTTGACTATTACTCTGGCAAACTTCTGCCCTATTGAAATGATTGTCAACAGTGCTAGGAGGACAGTCTTGAAATAAAAACCATCTCATTATAACTGAAACTTGTCAGGCGAAGACCTTGTCCTGTCACTTTTGTTTAAGGGTTATCGTTGGGGGCATTGGTGTATTCCCCAAAATAATTACATGATTAGCCTGCTGCTAAATACCATCCTCGGGGTGTTTACTTGCCATTACTTGGGGGTTTGCAAAACGTCCTAAGTGTGGAATGCTAATTCACATCACTATGCACACGCAGGAAATAACAGACAGTCAAACCAACAGATTTGTGCTTGACCTTAATAAGCCAGTTGGAAACATTATGCAAAATAATGTCCAGGTCAGAACTTTACAGAAGTTCTCAGGCTACCGTGCTTCACTGTGTGCAGAGCAGACAGTGCAGGCAGGTTTAGTACATGGCTTCATGAACACCATCACCTGCAGGAGACAAGGCAGGCAGTGGTCTATTGGTTTTTCCAAGCAGCTTCAGTTTTGCTCATCATTTTTAATTTTTTTAGTTCTCTTCAATCTGTTGTTATTCCTGTACAAATGGTAATTCTAGTCTAGAATCTCTTAAAGTCCTTCTGAAAGAACTCTGAATATGCAAGATTGGTTTCTACAAAGCCAGCAACTATATCTCTGGACTTGCATGCCTTTGGCAGTGAAATTTTGCTACTCTTCCAAACAGAGAGTAAAAACTCTTTGTCTTCCCCACCAAATATGGCTTGCCTCCGGATGTGTCATAACCAACAGAAAGATGTAGGAATGAAAATGGATATCTTTTGAGACTAGGATTTGGTTCACTCTTGTTGATTTTGGAGACTTCTTGTAATGATATCTTGACACTGCCATTCTCTGGAGCAGGGGCAGACTTGGGACATGCCACATAGGAACAGATAGGTTTAAAAACGGAGATAGCCTACTAAGTCCAGTGTGTCCCCCGGATATCTGAATGACACCAGTGGCCAAAAGTAGGGCAGCCTTATCAGCACACAGAATTAAGAAAAACAATAAGTCATCATTTAAAGCTACCAAATAATGGGAATATTGCTTCAACAATGGTTAGTCAAATAGCTTCTAGCAGTATATTGAGCAGCAGTTCAGGAGATAAAGCATTCATTACATAACTAACAATTTGTTGACTTTATAGTTCATCCTGTCTGGGTTTATTACTCACACGTGGCACAGAATTTTCCTGTGTAACCAGGAGCACACTCACAGTTTCCAGACTTTCCATTGCAATGACCTCTATTTTCACAGAGTCCACAAGAAGACTGGCATTCTTGTCCCCAGAGGCTATCAAGACAGGTTTGTAAAATAAAACAAAAAGAAAGATGGCTCCAGGTTTCACTTTCCCTGTTTCCTGAGTTGGAAAATTGTGTGTGTGTGTGTGTGTGTGTGTGTGTGTGTTGCAAAGAAAAGAAATGTTTAATAGCCTCTGAAGATTTGCAGCACCTCCAAAAGTATTCCCTGAAGAAATCAATGCTGCGTCTGTCACTTTGGAAACAGATATAGTAGTTGCCATTTTTCTTTTCTTTTTTTTCTCCTGCTGAAAATGTGTGTGTGTGTGGGGGGGGGGTATTTTTTTCAGGCAGTAACAATGGAAGTCATTTTGATATATCTTCGGAAGCACTTGTACAGAACAAACAAGAAACTGAGGTGTAATTTGTAAAAAGCGTTTCAGAAGGCTGCCTTTACGTCTTGACTTTCCTCATCACAGCTTCCTCCTCTAACTCTAATCAAGGCAGAACCTTTCGATTTGTATTCTTTAAGGGTGTATATACTGTCTAAGGTAGCTCAAGAGAAACTGGGTTCTGTCCTGTTGCGTGTCCATTGAACCATTGATGGGAAAAGACAAGGAGTAGATACTACCGCACAAGGGCCCTTCAGAGACAGCAAACCCCTGCAAGTAGAAATCTAGGTGAAATTATCCTCTGTACACAGAGAAAACAGGAAAACTTCCTCAAAGACTTGACAATGGTAGAAAGTTACAGTGCACTATGCCCACTGTGATGTATCTTTTGGGCTGGGCTGAGTCTTTGAATAGCAGAATTACCACCTTTTCTGAGGTGTCTACACCAGATCTGTAGCCATATCTTTATATAATTACATCAGATTTCCATAAAAAATAGCCAATCACAACTTTAGCCTATATTAAATGAGGTTTAGAGAGGTGATCTGGTATATCTGATATCATAAAGCTGTAAGTGGCAAAGTTGAAATTTAATCCTATGCCTTTCAGTTTTGGAATCTAGGTCGCCCATTACTATGTGATGCTGGACTATTCACAGCCACTCAAGTCACTTAGTGTTCTCTGAGAGACCCACTGGGGCTCTGAATTTCAAGTTTGCCTGCCATGGAACTACTTGAAGGAAGATACGATTTTCTTGAAATAGCACAGGGATTGTGTGGACTTTCTAAAATGGCCTTTATGGGAGGTCAGTGAACCACTGGATACTCCCCATTTAGAAATCTGCCTATGGCTGGGGTCCCAAGTACCCAGGAAACAAACTTTTACTCAGAAGGCATATGCAGCTTTGAAGTGGTTTGTCTCCTCCATATCACAGGTTACAGGAAGAACATGGCTTTTCTGTTTCTAGAAGCCATTGCTGATAAACTAACTGAGGTTGGTGTTGATTGTCCAGGCTGCTGGTCCTGAAACAATCATTAATTGACTATTCATGTGAAGTTCCAATGAAGGCCTGGGGGTAAGATTCTTGAAGATGTGTCTTGGCCTACTCCAGTGGTTCAGACACACAGAGAAAAACAACAGGCCTGATTTTCATCTTGCACAACTCTTAAAGAGCTCTTTTTGACTTAATTTCAGCTGCCAATCATGGTGAGCCCATTCACATGCTGCAGTCTTATTCATCATTTCATTTTGTGGCTAGACAAAACTATCAGAATTGGACAAAGTTATCTGATTGAAAAATAATATGTTTTCTAGAGATTATGGTGACCTCTCTATTTTGCTGATTTACATATACTTTAAACTCATTTTCTTTCACAGTGGGCTCTCAGAAGCCTTTTCCAATAAAGTATATTCAGCTGCTTTAAGGAAATGTTGTCAGACTAAATTAAATTTACCCAGGTGTGTGTACATGGTATTACATCCTTGTGCATTGACTTCCAGAACACGACATCTCAGTGGGAACATGAATAGAAGGCTAACACCAGGCTTAAAATCAGGGCAGGGAGTGAGAGAGTGGCATGAGACCCATTATTGTGCCATATTAAACACATTTGCTTGAGGATGGACTTCTGCTTCCCCAAGTTCCTTTCCTCATTACTTAGGTAATCACAATTCTGCCACCGAACTAGCTCATTGGGCTTGCTCATACTATACTCTACAGCTACAGGTTTCTAGTCACAGATCAGGAAGAAAATATTCCCTAAATCAGAGCATAAGGGATTCTAAGGCAAGTTTCAATTCCACTGCTTCGGTGAGTGGACTCAGAGCTGTGGTGTCTTCTATCCAAGCCCAGTATCTTCGTGTGGTTGCAAATGATATGACGACTTGCCGTTAGTTATGATCATTTGGTTTTCTGTATGTGTGCAGTTTTTATGAAAGAGCAAAAAGGCCATAGCATTTTCTTTCCTAAATAAGAATGCTAGTACTTAGGAAAATATATAAACAGTGAACATGAACCCACACACTTATGTGTTGATTTAAGAAAAGACTTACTGACTAGTGTCTATTGCAGAAATGGGGAGATACGTGAGGAAACAAAACACCATTTTCTCAGTTTTTGCATGCAACTACACACGTATCTATGTCTTATTTATGATAGGAATGTGACATCTATACAGTTGAGAAATGACAGGGCACCCATTTTTAATTCTCCATGGTTAAGGAACTATTAATAAATGTATTTGAATGATTGAGTTTTAGATGAAAGAGCATGATCTTTCAATCTGGAAGAGAGCAGGTCCTTGGCTGATGAGTCTGTGTTATCTAGCTTTAACTGTTTTCAGATATAATTTTAGGCTGTGGAATCTTTTTCCTTTAGTCAGACTAGAAATTGAGCTACTAACAGAAGTGGCCAAGAAGAGAAGGGTAAGTAATTGTAGTGTCTCACTGACTCAGTTTCCTCACCTGCAACGGGGAACATCTAAGTTCCCACCACTGAGGACATTGATGCAGATTACCTCATTAATGGCCAATGCTGAACAATGGCTGATTATTATTAGAGAAGCACAAAAATCAATCATTGGATTGTACCTTCCTGGCACCTGTTGCCTTGGTAACCAGATTTGCAGGTGCAACTACCATTCTTGGCACTGCAATCCAGGGTGTTCTTCTCCACACACTGACATTCCAAAGAACAGCCAGCTCCATAGGTCCCTCTGGGACAACCTGTAAGCAAAGTGAAGCAGGCTGGTCACCTGAAAGCAGTGCTTTGTTTATTTAAAATTGTTAGTGCACAGGCATGACATTCTTTGGGGCCTAATTATAAGGAGAATAAGGGGATCATCATAGCTGCCAAAAAAATGAGGCAACAAATGTCTTTCAAATCAGGCAATTTATTTGCTTTTTGGCAACTGGACATGAACAGTGAAGGCTGAATTACTTAAAAGGCTGCGGTGATGCTGGGAGAGAGATTGCTTCTCAAACGTGCTCTATTGCTGCCTGGACTTAATATTCTCCAAGGACTGCTTCAGCTGCCAGGCCCCTCATCAGCCAGCTGAAGCCTGGAGATGATGGACAAGCACTTATGTGAACGCTGGCCATTGTCCTTACTCCCCCTCATTATATGGTAATCAGAAATAATTTTACATCTCATAGATTACACAAAGCTTCCGTTGTGACAGCGATATTAACTTGACCACTTCTGTGGGAAGTGCTGCTTGCCCTGTCTTCTTTATTTTCCCCAGGCCATTGAGTTTTAGAGATGATGCGATCAGTACTGAAATTCTAACTTGAAAACATCTTGGCCTTGTGTTTAGGATAACATGCTATAGTCCATGCATTCTTCCTCTTTCTCTTTCCTACTCTTTCTGCTGAGTTCTTAGAACAGCTCAATTCCCTTTCCAACAATTATTTTGTTTCCGAGTTAACAATATTCAAGATATTTCTCAAATGAAATACGTTTTAAGGTGTTCCTTGGCTCAAAGGACTTGATGGCGAGCCCTTACAGGCTTTGCTGTGGAATGCTGTCTGCAGAAAATGCAATGAGTTGTGCTGCTTCCCTAGGGGATCACAAGTGACAATAGTAGAGTTCATTCTATATGGTGGTTATGATAGCTCAAAACCAATCCCGACTCGGGTTGCTAGGGACAATGCGAATAATATTTAAAGTCAGGCAATCAACAGGGCCATGTGAACACTTCAATAATGGTTCCAGTTCTGATAAGTTATCTTTTTCATGACCAAGTTCCACAGACAACATCAGACTCCCCAAGCCTGGGGTCTGTCTTGTTCTAGGCTCTTCTGTTTATTTCAGAATACTTGCTTATAAATGAGTTCAGATAAAAATGAAAATAAGTTTGTTAGGCATCCTATTAGAACATCCATCACTTGAATTTTTATGTCTTGATTCTCAGGACCTAAAAATGTGACTTAACTTCCAAATACATCAAGGGCAACCTAATATGTTAAGACAAGGTTGTACTGGGATAGATGAGATGCTGACTTAAAACACATAAAGAGTTTACAGACTGAGGGATTTTTCCAGAAACCTTCATGTAGTGAAAGCACCAATGAAGGACAGTATGATGCCATAGAAGGAATTTCCTGTGGTACGAAAAGGCCTGAACTGATCTCCATAACATCTTCAGAAGGGTCAGAAAGCTACTGAAACCTTGAAGATGGGTTCTTAGCTTCCAGAAATGTCAGACCATTGGTTTCTGTTCTAAGATACTCAGTCTGTGGCAACTGGTGTAGCTAGAAAAATAATGATGAGTTGTAGAACTTGAGGGCCTCAGGGCTAGTCAAGTGACATTCAGAAGTAAATCTAAAGGAACTAGGGTATATGCACTCTTCCTAAAGATGGTGACATTAAAATGTTAATGTTATAACCACCACCACCAGCATCCCCATCATTACCACAGTTACCACCACCACCATCACCACCACCACCACCACCAACCTCTACCATCACCACCACAGTTACCACCATCACCACCACCACAGTTATTACTATCACCATCATCACCATCACTACCACCATCATCATCACCATCACCACCACTACCATAACCACATCACCACCACTACCACCACCACCACCACCACCACAGTGACCACCATCACCACAACCACCACCATCACCACCACCACCACCACCACCACCACCACCATCACAACCTGTTTGCTGGTTTTCTCCTAAGTCATTATTACTGGCAGAATTTAAATATATGAGCCTGTTTTTCAATCCTAAGAATGCCAATTTTATTGCTGAAAAGTGAGCTTCCTAAACTTTTGGACCAGATGTATTGATTTAATTTTTGTTCACCAACATCTGATATTATCATATGAAATATTGGTATTACTTCATATTGGATATATCTTGCTACAATTCAGGGATTGTGGTGGATATTTGCCCAGGCACAAATGGCCTGGGGACCAACAGGCCCTTGGTGGCCTAAACCAGACTAAATGGGCTATCTGAGCCCTAAACTGAGCTAACATAGGTCTGCCAAATGGGCCCCAGCAACAGCAGTCTTTTCATGAGACAAGATGATCTGAACCAGTCTCCAGATGCCACAAGAGACCCTGATGCTAGTGCTGCTGCTTCCCCCAGGCAGGTGGACACTTTCCCCTTCCTAAAATAAACTGAGCTTGCTACACTCAGCTAGTATAGTAGAGCCTGTGTCGTTTACTCTGTGCCTTCTCACCCCATCCTGCAAGGGAAGCCCAGTGTGACAAAGCAGCAGATCAAAGCAGCAAGGGCCAATAGCAGAAATGATACTGTCTTTGTGTCTAACCCAGTTTTCTTTTCTAGGCATGCCTTAAAAGATAAATGATGTTCTAGAACATACCATTGGTACCTCTACTATTCAGTTATTGGAGCCTCTTTCTCTCCTTTATTTACCTAAACCTAATCTTTTCTCATGACCCATAATCAGTGTATTGTGATATGATGACTTCACTTGATCACTTATTGGCTTGTTCACTATTTACTATGTTTTTTTCCTGAGTCATTCCTTCTCTTAAGTTTGCAAGTCCTATGCAAATTCAGAAAGATAAATTATAAACTGTAGAAGATCATGGCAACTTCATAACAGCAGTGTGAATGGTACGATCCTCCTAAAATGGTTACGATGAAATATTAATCCCCTTGGACAATGCTGTTTGGAGGTGGGACTTTCAGAACAATATTAGCTAAGAGGTAGAGTTTCCATGTGTGAGGTTAGTGCTTTAGTAATGAAGTCTAAGGGTATATTTACTTGCTCCCTCAACAGGAGGACGCAGAGCCAGGAACTCTCTAGGACCCCCAAAGCCACCTGTCATAAGGGGACAGATTCTAGAATTAAATACATTTTTTATAACCTATCCATGGTTATAAAATACCTATATGGTATTCTGTCATAGCAGGCAAACCAGACCAAGACACCAATGTTCATTAGAAGAAATCTGCAGAGGACTCATTTGTTCAGTAGCTAGATGTGAGAGGGGCAATAGGACAAGGAAAAGGAAGGGCTGACGTCACTTCAGGGATGTCTGCAGTCACTTCCGACTCACAGATCTTATTTTCATGGTTGGAGGAAGGCCCCTCAGTGTTACTCGGGAGAAACTGTGGAAGCTACAGATGGGCTTACAGACTCAGATATTTGGGGCATCTTTTGGAAATTTGCATGGTCAACAATGCAAGCAGAAGAGCTGTTCTGAACTTTAAGGTAATAGAGTTCTGTACTAGACACAGAGACATGGTCTAGGCCCCTCACAATCAGGTCCTACAAAGTGACAGGTGTTTACTTAAACAAACTCCAACAATCTTTGCTTGATAACTAAGACAATCATGATATAGAAAAAAATTAAGATTTGGAAATATTTTTCTTCATCAAAATCTAGGTTCTGTAATGTAAAAAGCCCAAAGAATAGAATAAAATCTTTGTCTATATGAATAGATGAACTAGGTTTTGTCCTTTCTACCTTTGCCTTATCTGTTGCCACACGATTCAAAGTCACTATGCTTCACACAGGGATAAATCACGGCTATGACTTACTGAGATGACAGAACCGTCCATAGCGTCCTAGGTCACATATGCAGGCACCGTATAACCTGTGGCAAGGGCCATTGTTGGCACAGTGACATTTTCTTTTGCAGTTCTTTCCAAAGAATCCTTTCAGGCATCCTGCAGGGTATGCAAAAGAAGTAAATATTAACTCACATGCAGAAATTGCCACAGTCTTTGTTTATAAAATACAAATTCTGAGTATCCACCCTATCTGAGGAGCTATAGACAGCTGATGGGTTGAGGGAAAGACAGTCACTTTCCTTTAGGGGGTTGACCAACGGTAGGTTGTTCATGCTCCAGCAGATGACCACATATTCATGCACATGTGGGCAACATTAAATGTATCCATAGTAAAACATGAAGTTGAGAGGAAGGGAGGACAGGATGCACTAGGAAGACTTCGGCTGAGGTAGTGTTGGGTAGATATGATCAATATACATTGTATAAGTTATGAAATTTTAAATTGAATCTTTTTAATAGTATGTTGAGTTGAGAATTTCTTGCAATGTATTTTGATCATATTCATACCGTCTCTTGCTCCTCCTCCCAAATCCACCCTACTTCCCTTTATACCCAACTTTGTATCTTCTTCTTTTAAACACATCAACTCACTCATTCTGTAGACAAGGATGGCCTTGAACTCATAGAAATTCACCTGCCTCTGCCTCCTGAGTGTGGGATTAAAGGCAGAAGCCACCACTGTCTGGCTAGGATACTGAATGCTTTTATCATAAGGAAATGATAAATTTTAGGGGAGATGTGTATATATACATTTAACCCAATTTAATAATATACTATGTATATGTGTACTAAACAGCATATGAAACCTCATAAACATGTACGATTTTAATTTTATATCCCAATTAAAAATAAATTTAATTTAAACTTCAAAAGAAACCACATCAACTCTAATTTGTGATGCTCATGGATTCTTAGATGTGGGATCTTCCACTGGATTGTGGAAGGCCTACTAGGGGCCAAACTCTTAAAGAAAAATGGTTCCCCCAGCAGTTATCATTGCCAATAGTTCCTCAGCCAGGAGTGGGAATTCATGACTACCCTCCTCTATCCACGATGGGATTAAATGTGGTTTGAGCTTGTGCAAGTCTTGCACATGCTGTCTCAATTGCTATGAGTTCATGTGTGCAATCCAAGTGTGAGACAATAAGTCAGCTGGTGAAGTGTTAAATGTGAGGACTGGAGTTCATTGACCAGATGCACAGTTGTCACTGTTATTTTGTGAACTCTACAGTAATTTCTCTTCTCTAGCTCTCTTGTTCCCTCTCTTGCTCTCTGATTTCATCTCCCTCCTACTTTTGCCATGTGGGCCTTACTCTTGTCTTGTTTTTTGTTCTGCATAAAAAATAAGTTCCTCCTTATGGACCCAAATTTACAAACCAAGCTTTTTCTTGAGAAGAAAACAAAATTCTTGTATGAGGATTCATCCTGCTTTCATCACAGTCAGCCAAGTATCTTAGTTACCGTTCTATTGCTGTGAAGAGACACCATGTCCAAAGCAACAATAAAATAAAAATTTAACTGGAGGTTTGCTTACAGTTTCAGAAGGTAAGTTCATGATTATCATGGCTGGGAGCATGACTGTAGGCCAGCAGACAAGGTATGTAGCAGTAGCTGGAAGCTTGCATCTTAACCTCATGATGAAGGGTGATACTGGACCAGGCATGTACTTTAGAAACCTCAAAGTGTACTGCCAGTGACATATCTCCTCCAACAAAGCCATACCTCTCAATCTTTACTAATATTCTACCAACTAGTGAGCAAGCATTCAAATTTATGAGTCTATGGGGTTCATTCTCTTTCAAACTACCACACTGTCTAACTCTTTTTTTAATCATTTTTATTTTAATTTTAAATAGCTAGTTTTACATGTCAATCCCAGTTCCCTTTCCCTCCCCTCCTCCCGCATTCCCCTTCCCCCCCACCCTCCCACCCTATTGCCAAATCCTTCCACATAGGGGATATCTAGAGTCTGTCATTTCACTCTGGGTAGGGTCCAGGCACTACCCTAAGAGTCCAGGCTGAGAGAGCATCCCTCTTTGTGCTATAGGCACACGATGACTGTTTGTATTCCAGGGATAGACACTGATCCACAGCTCAGGGCGCCATAGGTTGCCCAGGCCTTCTCGCTGACACTCACATTTGGGGGGTCCAGATCAGTCCCATGCTGGCCTCCCCACTGTCGGTCTGGGGTCCAAGAGCTCTCCCCTGTTCAGATCAGCTGTCTCTGCTGGTTTTGCCAGCCCATTCTTTGCCAATTTGGTCATCACTCCTCTCTCTCTGTCACTGGGTTCCTTGGGTTCAGTTCAGTGATTAATTGTGTGTTTGCCTCTGCTTCCATCAGTCACAGGATGAAGGCTCCCGGATGGTTATAGACATCAAGTTCATTATCAGGAATGGGCATTCGAGGTGGTCTCTCCACCATTGCTTAGCTTGCCAATTGGTGTTTTCCTTTTAGATCACTCGAGGTCACTCTGGTGCCTGATCTGTCTTCTATCCTATGATTCCCTCTTCCCCCTATTCTACCCCCACCCACTCAACTTCCTGTTCCCCCATGACCAACTCTCTTCCTCTTCACCCCCTCTCTTCTTCCCAGCTCCCACTCCTCCCCCACCCCTTGCCGTGCTCCCCATCCATTCAGAGGATCTTGTCTCAATCCTCTTCTCTTGGGTACTATGCATATATGCATATCTTTTAGGTTCTTTCCTGTTTCCCAGACTCTCTATCAGTGGAAGTGCAGACTGGCACTATCCTGATCCATGTCTAAAATCCATATATGAGTGAGTACATACCATGTTTGTCTTTTTGCGGCTGGGTTACCTCACTCAGGATGGTTTCTTCCAGTGCTATCCATTTACCTGCGAATTTCAAGATTCCATTGTTTTTTTCTGCTCATCTAACTCTTATTTTGTTCTGTCATGCTTGCTATGGCCAAAGCAACTACATTCTTGTCATATAGACACAGCCTTTGAAGTCTTTATTTCCATGAAACCCCTACACCACTCCCACCCCAAAATTAGCAGCGTCTCATCTTACTGACAGGGCATTCCTACCTTCTTCGCAAAATTTCCCATAAACCCCTTGGGGGCATTGGCACTGCTCAGTGTAAGCATCAGAGGTGCCTCCATTCTGACAATTGCAGACAGCCCTGCACTACCTTCTTTTGGTGTCTGTGGAACAAGCTGTGAGTAAATCAGGAAAGGTGAGTATGTGATGGAACATCCTGTCCATCACAACTGGGGCCAGGAGGAGAGATCAGAAGAAGAGGTGGCCTTTCTATCCAGATGGCTACTGAGTAAATACATTCTTAGCACCTTGCAGAACCAGGGTTAACTCTGGCCTAGTCCCGGTTCCTATGATTTAATCACCCCAGGGAATTCCAGGTGATACAGTTGATTATGATAATGATGACTTAAGGAAATGCTAACAAGGTTTAAATGCAAAACTGATCTTACTCCTTAAACTCAGGCCCTCCTTGTTACAACACTACCGAACTACCCAACTATTTGTTGAATAACTCTAACCAACCTTAATAAGAAACAAAATGCATCTTCACTATGAAAAATGTGGAGAAAACTCAGAGAAAAAAATGTCATATTTTAAAACCAGCAATGAACACAGCTAGAGTTCTCTTAGGGACTCCCAAGGTATTTTGGAGTCTCTATATATGAAGAAATTAAGCAGATGACAATAGTCTCTGGTTTGTTGGTCCTTTTAGAAATACCAGGCATTCAGATATGTACCCTGAAGATATTGGGACATTCTTTAGTGTGAAAACATGTAACTCTTGAGATAATCTTATTAACTATTTTAGATGATATTTTACCATAAAATTCATTCTAAAGCTGCATTTACGATGTCCCCTGCAGTATCCTCCTACCATTATATGAAACAGTTTCATATTTATCTTTTATTTTTGATATGTTTATTGCTCTTTCTTTCCTCTCTTTTTCATTGAGACAAGGTCTAATGTATACAAGACTGACCGTAAACTCAAAATGGCTTTAAACTTTTAATTCCCATTCCTCTACCTTTTAAGGGCTGGGATTGTAGGCATGCTTCAATAGCTTTGTTTTTATGCAATGTTAGTATTTGAACTCACAGCCTTTTATATGCCAGGTAACTATACTATACATCTGGGCTTACCCAATTTTTTTATATTCCAAGCCATAGGCTACTATAAAAGGGTGAGTAAGAGAGGAAAGGGAGAGTAAAAATACAAAAGAATAAAGAGATTAGGGATGAAAAATTGTCAAGTCCCACGTTGTTGATTTATGTGTAGTATAACTTTGAATTTTTCCAGCATCTATATAAGGGACAGTTTTTAAAAATGAAGATAAAGAATTCTAAGTGGCTTCCCATAGTAACTGAGTTATGGTATATCATTTAAATAGCTGATAAATGTGATTCTCTCACCCATCCCACAAAGTAGAAAAAAGCAATACAAGGGATTTCTAATATATATTATTATCAAAATGTAGAATAAAGATCTTAGAGGAGAAACTGTTAGCAGGAGCATGTCCTAACACTGAACTAGAGGACTTGGAATGCATCACAAGCTCTTCTGTCCATGGAGTAATCTATGCCTGGGGGGATCACTTCTCTTTCCTCTCCACTAGATAATCAAACAATGCTCAGTGATTTCAAACATGGGATTTCTCTAAATGAGGTGTGCTTCTTCTAAAAAGCCCTGCTATGAAATAGTACAACATGATAGTTAATGCATTTTCTTATAATTTTTTAACAAATTGCTGAGAAGTCTAAGTAGGTATTTTCATAGTAGACCAAAAAGATACTGAGATAGTACTCAGTGGGGAGAGTTAGGATTAGGATTCAGATAATCTCTATTTGAAGCCTTACTTTCCTGATTTCTACAGTTTCATTTTTAATTTCCTGAATTGCATTTTAAAATGTAAATCATCTTTAAGATATGTAATTTCATGGATTTTAAACAATATCACCACTCCCTTTGTACTGAATAGTTAGTTGAAAACTTTGCGTTGATTTGGATTGATCTGTCTTCATTCTTACCTTTTGTTTTCTGAGACAGACACTTCCAGAAAGAGTCTCATGAACACTCAGACATCTACAAGATTTTCCAGGTAGGAAGACATGGATATCTTGTCTTTTTATCACCTGGGTCACTTTAATCTCTAAGGGTGAGATTTGCATCAGTGATGTTTTCTCTGATGCTTCAGAAGTAGATTTTGTGACTTTATTTCTCATGCTATCATGTCAAGGAGCATACAATTATATCAATGGACTTGCATGCTAAAGCAAATATTTATACTATAATGATCATATAGTGACATTATATACATTTTATACTATGGAGTATATGAACTTATGGGTCCATATAATTGAGGGTCTCCACCAAGGTTTTTTCTGTCTATACTGATGTTGTTGGCACTCCAGTATCGAATAACTGACAATAAATAAGAATGAATTATACCTGACCAAGGGGAACACTCTCCAAGAAAGAATAGCAATAGAGTCTAAGAGAGAGTGCTTCACATCTATGCAGTCTAAGACAGAATGCTTCACATCTATGCAGTCTATGAGAGAGTGATTCACATCTATAGAACCTAAGAGGAAAGAGTCCTTTACATTTATACAGTCTAAGAGAGAGTGCTTCACATCCATTAGAAAGACCAGTGCTTGCAGAGGATGCCATGTGAAGCTTTACATGACAGGCAAAAACTGATCTTCAGAGATCTTGGGGGAACAACAGTCACAGAACTAAAAAGTGCAGAATATGAATTACACAGTCAATTAAATTCCTAGAAATAGTCAATTGGGCAAAGACTATGGCAAAGATTTTTTTAAAAAAGAGGAACTTATGGGAACTTAATTCTGAATTGTTCCATGTGACTAAGTGTGTATATTATGTAAAGACACTGGGCTGTTAAAAAGGCTGAGAGCAGCAAAGAACATGATCACAGGGAATCTTGGGGACAATCTGAATATTTACAGGAATCATGCTGGTCAAATGATGTCACTGCATCAGGCCCTGGGTCCTGTGCCTGTGACAGTCATTAGAATACATCTCTGCTCTTTTAAACTTGCATGCAGGGAGCTAAAAGGAAAAATTCTGCTCACACTATCTTCTAGATAATCATGAAGACACATATTTTGAAGTATATGAGAAAGATGAAAAGGGAAAAAACTTGATGTATTTTATTTCATCACATGGAAGTTTCAACTTTTAAAAGCTGTCTTCATTTAAAACACAAATGAAATGATATTTGGATGGCATCATATTTAAATTTTTGATAATTTCTCTTGAGAAATTTATATAAAAAGATGAAAATATCACCATTGGCTATGTTAATGTGATTTTTTAAAAGGCAGAGGTAAAAAAACAGAAGAAAGCCTAGTTAAAACATTTCAGTTTTGAAAAATTTAACCCAAATGTTCCTGACTTTTCCAGTGGAAATAGCAGGCCGGGTGCTGGTGATTTTTTGGAGCACAGGGTTTTTGTAAGACCTATCTTATTAGCTGCTTTATTAATTTCTTTTTTGTTATTTACATGTTTACACATGTTACTCTCAGTTTCCTTTCTCTCCCCTCATCACCCGGCCCCCCATTCCTCCAAAACTCCCATCCCACTCCATCTCCCTCCTGCTCCCCAGCATGGGACTGATCCAGACAAACACCCCCAATCAGGGTGTCTCAGAGGAGACCTCAGCAATCTATGGGACCTTGGAGATTAGATCAGCATTTATTCCTAGCATACAAATGGACTCTGGGAGCCCATTCCCCATGGAGGGATGCTCTCTCAGTCTGGACACAACGGGGAGGATCTAGGAGATTTATTACTTTCTATGTTCTGTGGGTTAGCAGGATTTGGAGAATTGCCTTCTATTGAGAATATTAAATCTTTCCTTTCTGTGATATATTCAATTTACAAATGCCAACATTCACTGTCACTTTATTTATTTAAAACAAATATATGGCTGTCTCTCAGTGGATAGTTAATCAGTATACTTTAGGGGGCTTTTTTTGGAGAAGAACTCACCCTGATGAGCCTGCTGATCCACACCAGTTCTTATGGTGTTACTCTCATTGCAAAGAATGCCATTCCAGCCTTCTGGGCACACACACCCACTCTCTCCTTTGTGGCATCTACCTCCATTCATGCAATCCTTACAGCTCAAGCTGCAGTCCAGGCCAAAGGTGCCATCTAAACAGACTGCATGGGAAACCAGCTTAGTTGGCTTCAAGCTACACATGTAACCCAAATATAAAGCAAAAGCAAAATTCTTTTTTTTTTTTGTTTTTTGAGACAGGGTTTCTCTGTATTGTTTTGGAGACTGTCCTGGAACTCACTCTGTAGACCAGGCTGGCCTCAAACTCACAGAGATCCACCTGCCTCTGCCTCCCGACTGCTGGGATTAAAGGTGTACACCACCAACGCCTGGCTTAAAGCAAAATTCTTAATTCACCAAGAAAAAAAAAAACAAAACCAATCAGATCAGGCATCTCTGTCCCCCCACCCCTGAAACAAACAACCAACCAGAAAAGGAAACAGAAAAGAACCTTAGCAAAGATATGACTCTCAACACAGAACATATTTTACTTTGGACAGTTATAATATTAGATTATTTTCCATTCCTTAAAGGGCTATAGGGAAAAAACATAAACCAGGCCTATGAGTGATTCTAGACACAGAAGAGGCAGATAGTCCAGGTTGTTGTTCTTTCCTTTCTAGATTTTTATGCATATGTTTTAAAGGAAATTTTTATTGAAAATTAACCATCATGTGTAAAGATGCACACATCTCAAATATACCCACAATCTCAGATCACGGTACAGCATACTACCTGTCACCTAAAATGTCAATGCCATTGGCTCAAAAATATAACACTACCATAATTTCTGACAACACACATTTTTTTTTCCTGAACGTTTTTATAAATAGAATTGTAAAGTAAGCACATTTGCAGGCAGGTTTCTTTTGTCAAAACAACATTTGCAGCATTCTTCCACACTGTGTGACCAAATCTCTTTAATATGTGTATAATATTCTATTTCTTACTGAAATGCATCCTATTCACTTCTTCCCTCTCCTCTTGATGCTGATTATCCTAATATGAGAAAGTATAGAGGTATTATTTTCCTCAGTTGCTTGCACATGGGGATGGGCTCATGTTCTGTCCTCATCTTGGTGTAGGGAGGATGTGGGGCCTCTCCCCGGTATGCAGTGCTGATTTCCACTATGTGCACGTCCCTCACAAGCCATGCTACTGAGCACACTGCACCTACCTCACTTTCCTAACAGCTGTCTGTGGGATTGCATGGCACATCTCATGACTGGCAAATGACTGAAGGGGAGACAGCTGAGATGTAATTGGATTTCTCTTTCCAAACCTTGGTCAAATGATTTCACTTTGTCTATGTTTGTTGCGGTCAACTACACTTATTCTGACTTTGAATGGGCAAAGCATCAGAAATTTAACATTTCAATATCCTACCTTTATGCAAAAGCATTTATAGATATGCTTATAAATACAAATATATTACTGCTAGTTTATCTTTTATTTTTATTTATTTATTTAGGTGACTGTATGTGTGTGTGTGTGTGTGTGTGTGTGCGCGCGCACGCACACACACACATGTCATGGCACCATGTGGTAAGGTCAGGAGACAATTGCTGGGAGTGGGTTAACTTTTTCCATTATGTGGGTCACCTTTTCCTACCACGTGGGACCTATATTGAAATCAGAAGGTCATTCCTAGTAGCAAGTCCTTTAATCACTGAACCATCAACACATTCTTTCACCCCATGCTCCCATTTCATAAATACCTGCATATTATCTCTTTATTATATAAAATGGAAGTTAAGAGATGTTAAGTCTATAGGAATGAGGTATGCAAAAGTAAAGGTTTTAGTCCCATAATTCTACTAGCTCTCCTCTCTCAACATTTGATGATGTTAACTATTGATACTGAATTACCTGGATAACATGCCTGAGTTATCTGATGATGAGGAACGATGACCAAAGAAACAAATCCTTTACTCACCCACCCTCTGCAAGGCTGTCAGCCCTTGGAACTCTCCTTCTGTTCCCTGGTCTTCTTCATTATTGCTTTCGTCGTCATGTGAAGTGGTCCGAGAAAAAACATGGTAAGGGAGCAGCTGAGGGGAGCTTGGAACCAGAAGGCCTGGAAACTTCAGGATGTCTAGTACATCTTCTTCCTCCTCTAACTGCTCATCATCTAAATCTCAGACCAGAGAGGAGGAGACTGGTTTTTAACACTGTGGGTAGAAGGGGGCCAAAGCAACCAAGCATTGACAGACAGTGAGAGTCTGAGCTAGACAGCCAAGCAGGGATGACTTATGGATAAAGAGCTCTGAGTAGGCTCTTCAGAGGCCCATTGTGCCAGCAGCCACATGCTGCTGGCATGGGGTTGAATTACAGTAGACAGAGTACAAGGGAAATAAAGTAAAGCTAGATAGGGAGAGGGGGAGGAACTAAAATGAGGATGGAGGGAGCCAGGAAGAAGGGAAGGAACGGGAGAGAGGGAAAGAGAAGAAGGAACGAAGAAAGGTAGGAAAGAGGGAAAGACAGGGTAGAAGGTAGAGAGTGAGAGACAGAGACCTGAAGGAGGGAGGCAGTGAGTGTTGTGAAGTCTCCCTCTCCAGCACCCTGAAGAGCAGGAAGTGGAGGGAACCTAGGAGTCACAGAACAATCCCTTGACTACTGACAGAGACAGGTCCTTCCATCACTTCCGATTCTGTATCCTTCTTCGCAGGCACAGTCATAGGTCCCCTCGGAGTTGATGCACAGCTGGTCACAGTCCACACTGACATCCAGGCACTCATCCACATCTAGGGAGAGTAGAGTTAACCAGCATCTGCACTTTGTGTCACTATGTGACCTTCATTAAGCCACAGCAGCATCCTGCCACACAGGAAGCGAGCATAGCCCCTCAATATCAGGCATCACCTATCTGGAGACTTGCCTCATTCATCTGCAAGTGTACTGAAGACTGGCCACATAAACCAGAGATTTCTGAGGCCTTCCTTGTGTAGCTTGGAGGAAGAGCATAAAGCTTAAATTCAATGGACCCAAGCTGTGCCTTATTCTGCAGGAATGTACTAAGTTCTCAGCTTAAGTACGTGAGTGGACATTGATGCTTTGCATGGTTCCATTCAGGGTCTATGGAGAACTTTGGGCATGGAAGCACAATGACTAGTCTGTCCTCTTTTTTTAATTTAAATTTGAAACAAGCTTATTTTATATCTTTTAGCTATCAGATTTATGACTGAATGTGACTTTATATTCAGTCAGTGTGCTAGATACATGGAAAGTTCCAGAGTGAAGCTACACTTCAGCTTTACCTCAGGTGGTGCACATCTTACCCCTGTAGACACACACAAGTGTGTGCATTTGTGGCATGAAATCATATCTTGGCTCACTCCTCTTAGGAGCAGATGGTGCAGAAAATGCAGCTTTTGTTGGCTCTGTTAATTGGATGGAAATTGTAAATGGTAATATACTCTTCTGTGTTTAGTGTATATAGATAGCACACTATTTCTCTTTGATCTATACTGAAGGGCTGGCTTGTAGTAGTTTGAAGCCTGGCTACCATCAGAATTCAGGATTTGTTTCTTTAAGCAGTGAAACTCCACTTTCTCTGAGACATTAATATCATATATTTGACTTGTACAGATTTCAAGCAAATACTTTTTTTTTTTTGGTTTTTCGAGACAGGGTTTCTCTGTATTGTTTTGGAGGCTGTTCTGGAACTTGCTCTGCAAACCAGGCTGGCCTAGAACTCACAGAGATCCGCCTGCCTCTGCCTCCCGAGTGCTGGGATTAAAGGCATGCACCACCAACGCCCGGCTTGCAAATGAATTTTTAATAATAATAATAATAATAATAATAATAATAGAAAAAAATCGATTATATACTTAAGGTAATTTTGTTTTACATTATTTTTAAGTAAGCATAAAAAGCAGCATATTATACTACAGCATTTTATATAATTATGCAATTCAATTATATTCTCATTCTTAACTCCTCCCATTGTCCTAACTTTTAATTCTTTCCTCCCCTATAGTCTGCCCTCCTATGTTCATGTCACTTGTATCCCATCACACTCTCTAGCCCAGCCATCTGTCATCTGTCCTTTCTCCCTTTGTTTCCTTTCTTCTTTCATGGCACAAACAGATTTAAGTTCTGATTATGAACGTGAAAGAAAATGTGGTAACTGTCTTTGTGGATCTGGTGTATCCCATTTAATAGAATTGACCCCTAGTTCTATACACTTTTCTGAAAATGGCTTGATTTCCTTTTTTTCTTAGGTTGACTGAAATTCTTTGTATATATGTACCACATTGTCTGTATTCGTTCTTCTGCTAAGGGAGATCTAGGCTGGTTTTGTGTCTTGGTTATTTTGACTAGTGCAGCAATAATTATGAATGTGTGGCATGTTGATCTCACCTTTCCATTTTATACAGATAGGTTAGTATTTTTTAATTTGCATCTATTTATAAATTATATCTATTAATTCACTCTGTGATATGTGGATAACCAAGATTTTTTTCTGCTCTTTAGGCTGTATCTTCATTCTGGTGATTGTTTCTTTTGCTGTAGAGACACATTTTTGCTCCTTGTAATCTAATTTATAAATTATTGGGATTTTTCTATTGGTATTGGAGTCCACTGAAGAAATTTCTTTCTTATGCTTCTATCTCAAAGTGTTTTAGTCATTGTTTTTTTTTCTAGCAGTTCCAATCTTCATGTGTCTCATTAAGTTCTTTGGTCCATTTTGGACTGATTTATGTACAGGTGGATATCCAATTTTCACAGCATTGGTTGAAAGGCCCCTTCCTCAACTCCTGTAACTTTGGTGCTGGTTGGTAGAGACAGTTGTGACCTGGGAGCTCACTTGTCAATCTGTCCAGTAGAAATGGTGAGCTCCCTGTCTCAAATACATGTTGGAGAAACTCTTGAGAGAGATACCAACATCAATCTGTAGCCTCCATATGTACCCCCATGAGTGACTGCATCCAGATACTTGCACACTCTGCACACACACACACACACACACACACACACACACACACACACACACACACGGTGGGGAGAGAGAGAGAGAGAGAGAGAGAGAGAGAGAGAGAGAGAGAGAGAGAGAGAGAGAGAGAGAGAGAGAGAGAACATTGGTAAGTCTCCAGATTCCAGATATTTATATGATTTCTGAAAGAAGATAATTTCAATTAGGAAAGCAAAAGAATGAATGAATTTCTTAAGAGGAATAGATCACAAAAAGATTGCTGGGAAGGAATCCATTATGTTCATCGCAGTAAGCAGAAAACTTCTAATGGCAATAGAGGGGAAAATAACAAACAATAATCCAATTAACAACAATCAATAATTGGTAGCATCTCTAATAATAAATTTAAATGCAAATGTCTTTTATTAAAAAAGAAGATGAAGAATGGTTGAGTTCCAACTATCTGTTTTTCTCCAAGAAATGTGTCTGATGTACAACAGTGTCCTCCAAGATGGAAACATTCCCTCCAGCAGGAAAGCTCTTTAATCAGGAAGGTAAACAACCCAAAAAATAGCTTCAGGAAGTCCCTGAAATGGACCAGATTCAATAGTCCCCTCTCTGCCAGAGTAAGCAATAAAAACTGAGAGACCCTCTTAGAGGAGTGGAACTGAACTGTGGAAAATACTGTACCTAGAAGAAGCTGCCTAGAAGAGGTTTAGACCACACTCTCTTGGAAAGGACACTGCCCAACCTGTTGAGCTGCCAGCAGACTGTGCATTGTGCTCCAGGTTTCTCAGCTTTTATGAGCTGTCACCATGTTGAGGTGAGTTTTGGTGATGTAGCTGTATTTAAGTCATTTGTGCTCCTGAATAACCCCTTACACATATTCCTCTTTGTAATACCAATAAAACTCATGGCTCAAAAAGTTTGACTTTGGTGGTCTCTGGGATGAGTAGATTTGTGTATAGTATCTCCCCTGGTAATGTCTTGTCACACAACACCACCTTACTGGCATAGACATAGGCTAAGAATCTAAGGATAGAATTCAATATATGAAGTAAATGAAAACCAGAATAAAGTTAGCATAGCTATTCTGAGATCTGATAAAAATAGACCTCAAACCAATGTTAATCCAAATAGATAAAGAAGGGCACTACATATTAATAAGAGAACATTCAGCAAGAAAATATAGTAATTATAAATATGTATGCACCAAGCTTTGCAGCTCCCCATGTCATAAAACAAACACTAATAGGAATTTAAAACTTTCTTAAGTCTGATACAGTGACATTATTTAACTTTAGTATGCTGATCATATCTTTAGATAGGTTATCCAAACTAAAGACTGACAGAGAAACTTCACAGTTAAACTATAATGTAGATCAAATGAAATTAGCAGAAAGTTCCATTCAGTGGAAATGGAATAAAAATTCGGAATAGCCCATAGATCTTCTCCAAAACAGGTCACAGTCTATGCCACAAAGTAATTCTTAGCAAATCCAAAATGACTAAATAAATTATCATTTTCTACCATATCACAGTTGAATACAACTAGAGACCAATAGCAATAGAAACTATAAGTAGATAGCACACAAATCCTTGGGGAGACAAACAGTACACTGTGACTTTTTGAAGGAAACCATAGGATGATGTAAGGATATACAGGATCTCTCTCTCTCTCTCTCTCTCTCTCTCTCTCTCTCTCTCTCTCTCTCTCTCCTCTCTTCCTCCCTCCTTCCCTCTCTCCCTCCCCTCCCATGTGGTTTGGTATACATGAATGTATATATGCAGATCTGTATGTGTTTATGTGCACACAGATCAAGGATGAATGTCCTTTGTTTTTTTATGTGGATGTTGGGGCACCACTAACTAGTTATACTCACTATTTTCAGATTCACCTTTACTAAAAAGTAAATGCTTGGAGAGCACCTAAAAGGTTGCAACGTGGCACATTAATATAGCTATATGAGGCATTCTGCTGAAATTTTTCACTTATGACAGGAAAATACTTTAATTTTCTTGTCTTGAAAATGATTTTCAGCAAGCAACTCTGTAATTGTCGTCCAGTGTGCAAAGATGATTCCATTAGCCGTTTGTTACCACTCATGAATCTCCCCTCTGCATACATATATTTGGAAAGCATATGGACCAATGAAAATCATACTAACCATGGCTGCCTTTAGTGGAGTTCCTTAATTTACTCCCTAAACCTATTGCTGTCTTCATTTCACTGACAAAGATCTTAGATTTTTCTAAGTTAGAGCCACAAAAGTGCATATGCTGTCACATGGTGCAAACACAGAAATCCACATTTCTTTTAGTGTGAAAGACACCCAGTCCCAAGCTCCTGCCACCATGATTGTGCATCCCATCAGTCGTTCCAAGAGATCTCAGGAATTTACCATCACATCCACAACCATCCAAACTGATCTGAAAGCCTTCCTGACAGTCGCATTCGTAGCCTCCTGAATAGTTGATGCAGAGCTGGGCACAGCAGGCATCTCCGCTCTCACATTCATCAAAGTCTGAAGGGCAAAGGACATTTGTGTTACTCCAGGAAGCAGAATTCAACAAAACTGCAGATGCTCTGAGATGCCTCATTTCTAAATTAAAGCTGATTAGCCATAGTACAGAAATTGAAGAAAGTTATCTCACAAAAATAATGACACCTACTTTTAGTTTAAGTTTCCTGCAAGCTCCTTGAATGTCTGTTATTTAATTTAAAGGAATGTAAATGATCTTTAAATGCATTTATAAGCATAGGAAAAGAAATCTCTGCTATTTTTCTTCCCTGTCTGAAAAGCAATCTGACTGAATAAACAGAACTTGAAGGAAAAAGAGACAGACTTGAAAATGAAAACGCAAAGAATTCCATGTCAGTGATGTTTGATAGCAGCAGAAAAGACAGCCCCAGACTTCACAACATGCCTCTTCTCAGAGACCTTAGATCAAAGAGTCTTCCCAAGTAAACATTTCCTGGCACTCAACTAGGGAGAGGAGTGGGAACTGTATGTCTGTGGGAAGGAAGGAGGCACCCTTACTTCTCATATTGTATAGTAAGTTCTGGAGTATTCCAGAGTATTTGTTTAGATATGCTGATGACACATTGAGTGGGGTTAGGGAGGTCTGTGGGGTTTTGTTAGGCTGTGAAATCATTCCCCTGGAATGTTCTGTCAGTTGAGCAGTTGCTTATATAGCACTGTCATTCTAGAATCCTACAATCTCGAGTGTTTGTTCTTAAGACACAGCTGACCTGGGGAAATAAAAACCTTCTCAGTTGTCAGCGAAACCATTCAGCCCAACAGCAATCTACTTGGCCTGAGTTTTAAAGGGTCATTTGAAGTATAAGAGTGAAAGGGGCCAGTGGGCACTCACTGCTTCCCTCCACTCTGGGCAAACCAGGATTACATGATGAACGTGTTGCCCCTGGCTCAATGCTAGCCTCTGTGTGTTGAGCTGTTAGGCTGAATGGCTGTCACTGCTGAGCTTATACAATCTTATTGCTCCAGGACTACATGAGTGACCACAGGTATGAAGAGGTCAATGTCTCAATTAACCTTGGGAGAGTCAGTAGACTCAAGGAAATGAAGACAAGAGACAGGAAGGAAAGGAAATGCAATCAGTCAGTCAAGGTGAGGGGTCACCATAAACTATCTAAATGAAGGTCATCTGAGCACAATGCATTCTTTCTTCTGCAAAATGTCACAAGGAGCCACACTCAGAATATTGCTGATATTAGTTTCTGCCATATTAAGCTTTTCTCTGCCCTTTAGATTAAACAAGGTGAACACAGAAGGTTTAAAAACAATTTTATTTCATTTAAAACAGTAGTCTTTGTGTGTTTTTTGTTTAATTTTAGATATTTCTTCTTCTTTTTTATTTCAAAAAAATCCTTATTACCAAAAAGCCTCCAAACACATAGCTCTCAGCTAGCAAGGGGCTAGCTGCATCATATAATCTAAAAATATCACTTGTTCTTATTGTTATTATGAATTAATTTCAGATTATTTTGTCAGAGCAATTTTTTACCTTGCACACTGACTTTAGCTCAAAAGTGCAACAGAAACCTAGCTTTTCTATGGCAGAAAACATGTGTGTGTGGGGGGGTAAATACATGTCATGTGTATGCATGGATGTGCGCAGGCATGCCCTGTGTGTGCGGGCACACATGCATTAAGGGGTCATGCACATTTAGTCACATGGGGGAGTACACATGTATTGTTGGTCAAGTCATGTGGGGCAATGTATATGCATGGCATGTGGGGTAGTGCACATACGTTTTGTGCGTAGGGGGTACACATGTAACATTCATTGACCAAGTCATGTGGGGAGATGTGTATGCATGGTATGTGGGGAGGTGCATGTTGTGTGTGTACATAGATCTTTGTGTGTAGGTGGGTGTACGTAGACCATGGGTCTTCCTCAATGATCTCCCCACTTTATGTGTTGAGAAAGGGTCTCCTAGTCAGTAGATCAGGTGGTCAGCAAGCCTCGGATCATAGGCCAAGCCTTTTATATGGGTGTTGGGGATCTGAATGGAAGTTTTCACACTTACAAAGCAAGGACTTCAAAGATTTAGCCCGAATTCAAATCTTTTCTAGAAAATACTGTCACTTCAACCTTTATACCAGCTACTTTCTACATTTCTTAATTTATTTTTATATTCTTGGTGAAACTGTTGCTTGTCTGTGTTCCTCTTTTGATCATACCTTATGGCTTTTGGCTACTGTGCAGAATGCAAGGTAACTACAGTGGTGTAACTCACCACTCAACTGAACAGGAAAATCTAGCCTCAAACTGGGAGCCTCATGCTACCGAGGTGAAACTTCTTAATCACTCAACTCTGAAATGAGTCAGAGTAAAGCACTCCATCCTCTGTACACAGACACTGAAGAAAATTTACAAACACTTCCCAGTATCTGGCAGTTTGCTTAACTTGGAAATCCTCATCATGATCAGACAACTGTGTTTCATACAATTGTCCCTCCAGTGACACTATGCCTCTTTTTCTAGCTTCAGGACTAGGCTTCTGCACCTTGGCAAGGCTGACCAATGGCATGCTAGCTGGACTGTTTTCATCTTTGTTTGTACATTCCCATCTTTAGAAAATACCTGATAGTAACATATGATGGAACCCATGGCTGCTTTTACAAAGCAACAGACAACCAGAAGGGTAACCTCATAGTCTAAGTAAGTCACTGTTTTTGCCCTAGTGAATATCTGGTCTTCAGAATTAAGCATTTTTATTATTGAAAAGGTGAAGCAAAATGGACCACAATCAGTGTAATGTTGCCTTGGTGACTGCTGAAATCTCACAAGTATGCAATTTTCTGCATTCTGACCCTAGCAGACGCTGTATTTTTTCTAGTTGTAAATAAGAAGTTTCCTGAATTGTACCTTCCAAAGACTAAAGACATCAAGTTTTAAAAGAGTATAAGAGTAACACATTAATAAAAATATAAAGAAAGGATATAGCTTTTCAGTTTTCATTACTTAGTACACACAAAAAACAAAATGAGGATGGAAAAAGAAAGGAAAGAATAAAGGAGGGAGAGAGCAGAGGAAGAGAACCATTAATTTTCCTTATAAATTTAAATATTAATGAAGAAAATGCGGCATAGTTTTCATGGCAAGGGAAAACAATCGGTTCTGATATGTTGGGCACCACAGACTCATAGCAGTGTAGAAGGCACTGCTGGGTCAAGAAACATATGCAATGGGTTTGCTTAGGCTTAAATAGTTTTGTGAGACCAGAATACAATAAATTCCATGATATCATTCTCTCTTAGCACCCAAGTATAAGATAAAAGAACCAAACCTGATTCTTACATCACTTCTCCATTTAAAATATCTCTCATCATCTTGAATAGTGTGCAGTGAAAATGAGAGTTTCTAGCATTTGTATTAACACTTTAAAGAGGGAAAATACATGCAATTATTTTAAAAGGTAAGCAAATAGAGTGTTTCCATTTTAGAATGAAGACAAGGCTACTTGTAGGCTTGGAATGTTTCAGAAGCAGAGCAGGGCAATGCCACTTCATACTGGCTCCCTTGTTTCCTAGCAGAGAAACACTGGGGGATTGCCATTCAGCATTTCTTTATGAGGGAAGGCTGAGTTGGGACTATTCTTCGCATTATTGCTTGTTGCAAATTATAGAAATAATATACCTGCATATCTCATTAAAAGTGTTTCAATCTCCTTAATATCAAGGCAAATATCCAAGTCTATTGATATCTTTTCTCTGCATCAGTGGTCAGAGACACAGCCTCTCTTCAGGCTGAGGGTTGTGGTTCACACTGTAGCAATGTGTATTAACATGAAAGTGCTAAACGAGTCCAGAAAATCTTTGAATGAAGATGGCATTTACTAAACATTACCTATGCATGTTTTTTCATCTGTGTCAAGCTGATATCCATGGTCACAGGAGCAATGGGGTCCACCAATTGCAGGTTCACAGTGATGAGAACAACCACCATTGTTCTCTTCACAGATATTTACAATTTCTAATTCAATTCCTTTCCAAAACAAGCAAAAGAAGTTTATTAGCATGACAATAGAGAAAATGGAATATATGTTAACAATGGAAATGCTTTCTCTTTTGAGAGGATGGCATGCTCTATTGGGAGTATATCAACATTTTACACATTAAAAGTAAAATTCTAAGTCATATCTTGCGCATTATTTCTGCTTATAATGTATTGAACTACTAAGTGATCCAGACCCCCTGACCGTGGGTGTCAGGAGGCCTGGACAATCTATGGGGCCTCTGGTAGTGGATCAGTATTTATCCCTATTATACAAATGGACTTTGGGAGCCCATCCACATAGAGGGGTACTCTCTCAACCTAGATACACAGGGGAGGGCCTAGGCACTGCCCCAAATGATATGACAGACTTTGAAGATTCCCCATGGAAGGCCTCACATTCCCTAGGGAGCAGAAAGGGAATGGAAAAGGGGGTCGGTGGGGGGCAGGGGAGGGAGAATGAACTGGGATTGACATGTAAAACAAGCTTGTTTCTAATTTAAATTAAAAAAAGAAAAAAGTACTGATAAATTAGGTAATAGGAGCATAATAAAAACAATGATGGGTCAATCAGTGGCTACTAACTACTTTAAAAGACACTTCCTTTAGGAAATACAGTGTGTGTGTGTGTGTGTGTGTGTGTGTGTGTGTGTGTGTGTGTATTTAAAACTAATGATTGTTCTCTTCAGTGCCTGTAGTTTCATCAAACTGTTATCAAAATAACTATGGGTTAAAGAGACAATAAACCAATGTACTGACTGATCGAATGAGAGCTGCATCATGTGAGAGTGCTTTGATGCATATAAAACACACTTATCACATTAGCATACTATTATTTTGGAAACATGTCACCATCCCTGGCATATGCTAGTAATTTGGGCATATTGGTGAGCATCAGGCTCAGCATATGAATGTTGACTGGCCACAAACATGCAGACATTGGAGCCTCTGATTTTCTAAATGAAGACACAAGAAGTAATAGAATGCTTGACTCGGGCTTTAAAGTATAAAATTTCAATGTTCTGGCTCAGTTTACTTTATCCATTACTCTTTGTGTGGGCAGGCACTCTGTTCTTATGGACTGTACATTTATTGGCTTGTTTCCTTATCCTTTGGAAGAAGAACATGAAAAAGATCAGGGCAAATGTACCTGAGGTTGCGGCACTTCTTGTGAGCATGTTTCACCCTTGACACTGTGTGGAGAACCTGTTGTCTCTGAGATTGTTTCTCCTGTTGCAGCACACAGCAGCCTGTATGCCCCCAGCCAGCACTGCAGGTCCCTGTCACTCTGACTCCACTGTGCCTTCTTCATTTTGCCTTAGCAACTGTCAGCAACTATCCAAAAATACATTCCTAAAGACTGGTGAAATAAAGGGATACTAGTCTAACCAAATTACTGTTGAAAGAAGGACTCTCTCTGGTCTGAATACTGAGAAAACCAGAACGCATAAAGGACTGAAGGTCAAAGTGCTTTTATGCATATGCTTTTTATGCATATGCTAATAGAGAACACTGGACACAGACCTGAGCTACTTCTCTTCTGTCAGCCATGGAAAGAGGTATCTAAACCACGGTTGGTATCTCCTAATCCATCAGAACAGTCCCCACTAGTTTCCAGGAAAGCCTAAGTAGGTTCATGGGGAATCACTCTTTAAAAATATGAAGAAGAATACTGCTTCTGTCAGTAGCCAGGTCTCCGGTGACACCCTAATTATACCCACACAGATTTATTGCATTTAGGTGAAGTTCAGACAAACACTCATCTAAATTTTTTAATGCTAAAATTCCAGTTCAGTGAAATTATTATGTGTCCAAGACCCAGCTATCCCATTCTTAGGCATGCACCCAAAGAATGCTCAGTCATTCCACAAGTACACTTCTTCAACTACATACACAGTAGCTTTATTTGTAATAGTTAGAACCTGGAAACAACCTAGATGTCCCTCAACTGAAGAGTGGATAGAGAAAATGTACTGCATTTACACAATGGAGTACTACTCAGCAAAAAAAACCAATGGAATCTTGAAATTCGCAGGTAAATGAATGACACTAGAAGAAACCATCCTGAGTGAGGTAACCCAGTCACAAAACGACAAACATGGTATGCACTCACTCATATATGGATTTTAGACATGGATCAGGATAGGGCCAGTCTGCACTTCCACTGACAGAGAGTCTGGGAAACAGGAAAGAACCTAAGAGAGATATGCATGGTACCCCAGAGAAGAGGAATGAGGCAAGATCCTCTGAATGGATGGGGAACACAGCGAGGGGTGGGGGGGGAGTGGGAGCTGGGTAGAAGACAGGGGGAGAAGAGGAAGAGAGAGTAGGTCATGGGGGAACAGGAAGGTTGAGTGGGGGGGTAGAATATGGGGAAGACGGAGTCATAGGTTAGAAGACAGATCTGTCACCAGTGAGACCTATAGTGATCTAAAGGGATGACACCAACTGACAAGCTAAGCAATAGTGGAGAGACCACCTCGAATGCCCATTCCTGATAATGAACTTGATGTCTATGACCATCCTAGAACCTTCATCCAGTGGCTGATGGAAGCAGAGGCAAACACACAATTAATCACTGAACTGAACCCAAGGAACCCAGTGACAGAGAGAGAGGAGCAATGAGCAAATTGGCAAAGAATCGGCTGGCAAAACCAGCAGAGACAGCTGATCTGAACAGGGGAGAGCTCTTGGACCCCAGACCGACAGCTGGGAGGCCAGCATGGGACTGATCCAGACCCCCTGAGTATGAGAGTCAGTGAGGAGGCCTGGGCAACCTATGGGGCCCTGGGCAGTAGATCAGTGTTTATCCCTGGCATACAAACAGACATCGTGTGTCCATAACACAAAGAGGGATGCACTCTCAGCCTGGACTCTTAGGGGGAGTGTCTGGACCCTGACCTGAGTGAAATGACAGACTCTGGATATCCCCTATGTGGAAGGAAGTGGGGATAGGGTGGGAGGCTGGGGGGGGATGGTGGGGAGTGCGGGAGGAGGGGAGGGAGAGGGAACTGAAATTGACATGTGAAGCAAACTATTTAAAATTAAAGTAATAAAAAAATATGAGGTTCAGAAACAAGCAGAAACAAAAACACTTTGTCCCAAGCAATAGACTTTCATAAATCTGCTCTCTAGGCCTTCCTAATACTGTTCTTTCTTGACTCTGCTCCCCAGTCTGAGTTTTCCTTTTGTTCCTCCAGCTATCTGTGTACAGGTGTATATGTTTAGGTCAGAGATTGACCTTTGGTGCCCTCTTTAATTGTCCTCTATTTTGTTTGCTGAAACAGGCTCTCTCACTCAATCTCAAGCCACCAATTTGACAAGACACATTGGCCAGTGAGGCCCAGGGAGCCTCCCGCTACTGTCCAGCACTGGAATTACAGATGTGCACAATCACATCCGGCTTTTTACTTGGTTTCTGGATATTTAAACTGAGTTCTTTGTGTTTTCATGGCAAGCACTTTGTTCCCTGAGCCACTCTGCAGCCATGCAGTGATTTTAAAATAAACAGAACACTACGCAAGTCTTTGCAAGACTTTGTACCTCCACATCATGTCTGAGGAGTCTGATGTCTGCATGACATGACACTTTACCCTCTTTGTCTTGGAATTTCATTCTATACCCTCTTGTTTACTCTTTCCAGTCCATACTGGCTTCTTAACTGAGCTCCAAACCAGGCACCTCAGTCTCTTCTAAAACCATACTTCTTACTATTAATTTTTCCTTCATCTTGATCTTCTCTGCAGTATAAAACTTGAGTTTGCCTTATGTTAGCTAGACAGTTTTAGGTTTTGATTTCTCTTTCAGATTTAGAGTCTGTGTGTGTGTGTGTGTGTGTGTGCGTGTGTGTTATGGAGAGAGAGATAGACATGAGATCCATTTCTCAACATCAGACTCATTTTCAGTTCATACCTTCCTTTGACAGGCAGCCTGAAGGTAATATTATACAATGGATTTAGCACGCATTCATACTTTTTATTATAATCTACCATGTAAGAACAGGTATAGTATCCTCCACTTTGGTGCTGTGTCAGCACTTCAAGTATGTTAGAGTTTGGAGCTTTTCAGAGTTTACATTTTTCAGTTACCAAAAGGAAGCCTGCATCATCACCGTGGGACATGATCCTCAGATGTCTTTGATGATTTTTATCTCTTCTGTATGAATTTGGTACCATCTACATCTTCAGTTCCAGGGACCTAACTCTTTCCTCTACTTCCTTGTGCACTGAACACACACATGGTATGCATACAGATGTTCAGGTAAATGCTCATACAACAAAGTAAACAAACTGGAAAAGTTAAATGAATCAGTGGCTCTAGACACAGGCAAAGCTCTGGTTCATTTTGCCCCCCCCCGTCAGAGACAAGGAAAAGCTGACCTCGATTCCTGAATGTGAGCTCCAACTCAGCAGTGGCCTTACAAACCTCATTTCCTTCTCTGCCACCCAGCTTTACATGTCCATCACTGCCAGTCTCCTGTGGGCAGTAACAGTTTGGATTCCAGTTTTTAGGTCATTGGAAGCTATAATCAATTCTCTAACACTCATCAGCTTGTAAGGGAAACCCCAAGGAAGAATCTGTTTAATGAGTTTTGTGTACTCTTCCCATTATAGTTAGGTACCTGTGGTGTTGCAGGAATATGACTCTGTGTCTGCTGGTAGTTTTTTAAGTCCTATATACCTGATAGGTATATCTATCTAATCAGTCATACAGGATGAAAATGACTTGAGCTGTGTGTAATGGTGCACTCCTATAATAGAAGCACTGGAGAGGCAGAGCTAAGAGGATTGACAGCCTGGGAGACACAGCAAGTTTGAGGCTAGCCAGGGCTATAATGTCACATCAAAATAAGACGAACAACCTCAGATCTACAATTGGTCACTAGAAGTTAGCTGATGTTTTGGGTTCTTGACCTAGGTGATTTACAATGAGCTATTTTCATAGTATATAAAAATTCACACGGGGGCCACAGATATGGCTCCATGGTAAAAGGGCATCAGCCACGCCTAACCATCTGATCTGATTTCTAAGAGCCACGTGTCAGAAGGAAAAGTCAAACTCCTGAAAGTCGTACTCTGATCTCTACACAATTGATGTGGCTGGTGTGCTCACACAAACACACACAAGCACAGACACATAATTGTGCACACATGCACAGAACATGATTTCTTTAAATTATACCTAAACAGACTCTGTTTCTTCTCATAGGCGACAGGTTCACCATTTGCTTAATAGATACAACACAAAAAACACACGTATCTAAAAACACAATGATAAGTTGAGAATTCTTTTGATGAAAGTTTCATCTAATGGTGAAATGTGTGAAACTTTTCAATTGGAATCACAAAACAGAGAATATGAACTCACAGCACAATGTGGGGACTGAGTGGTTATATTATGCAATATTTCAAAAATTTCTCTGAAGAAACTAAATAACCATGCAGCGTTTTCTTGGACAAAGGTGAAACATGCATCCTACAGTATACTCGTTACATACAGGTGCTATGTTTATGGTTAAATATCATCAGGTTCTGAAAAGATGTCCTCTGCCTAAAGGTTTGGAGACCCCTTAAAACATAAATTTTCACTGAGAAAGCTTTGTATGCCAGTAGTAAATATTGAGGTCTGGGGATGACTGTAGAGAGAACTTAGTTAAATATTCCCATCAGGAAAGTAAATGTGAGTCGCACGTCCACCTAATACAGCAAACTCTAAGGCAAATTACTTTCCTGAGTAAATTCTAAAGAAAGTCATAAAGCACTATTAATAATGTTCTCTTCCTTCATGATGCCTCAGAACTTGCTAGTCAGTTTGCAAGACTCATTTGCACATTGTAAAATATGCTTATCCCCTAAAACTCTGGCTATATTTAAAAACTAAATATTAATAAAAAATTCTACCCACATTTTCTCCTCCTGAAAGGAGATTCCTGCATGCATTCATAAAAGGCTCAACCTCAGAAGTCCTTTCTTAATTAGGAGTCAGTTTCCCTCCCATCTCAGTTACTTTGATCTTTAAAAGGCAAACATCACTGTGAAGAGGCTGCACTATAAATGCTGTAGGAATAGACTTGAAAGATACATCAACAATCAAGAAACAGAATTCTATGTTGAGGAGAGTGAATTTCCTGATTTTTAATGGTATCTTCACAAAGAAGCCCAGGAAGAATGTGAACATGTTCACTTTTCTATCATTCTCTGTGTGCTCTTTGTCTCACACCAATAAAAAATACATACATTGCACGGAAATAGCCAGTGAAGGTGAAGAGCTTGTTTATGCAGAATTGAAAAGTCCAAGTCCCAGCCCTAAGACTTAGTGACTTATGTTATGAGCATTTTTGCATTAGCAGTGAGTGTGAAGGAGTGCAAAGAGCATCTCTGAGAAAAAGATTCCACCCAGAATGCAGTTGCTGTCACTCACGTAAATAAGGCCACTGAGCTCACAATTAAGAAATGTCATTAGAAGTAAAGGAACTGGAAGCACAAATTTGATCCTGAGATAGAGTAGAGATGGGCACAGGGAACTAACTAGGACAAGGTAGGAGAAAAGGAGGGAAAAGAGCATCTCAGAAACAATGAGAGTAACTGTCATTGCTTGGTTTTTATAGCTGTGATAAAAATCACAGCCAAAAACAACTGGAAAAAGACAGGTTGTTTTGGCTTACATATCCCAGGTAACCATAATCCATGGTGGAGTAAAGCTAAGGCAGGAACCCGAGGCAGGAACCAAAGCAGAGGCCATGGAAGAACACTGCACACTGTTTACCCTCCATGGCTGGCTCAGCCTGCCTCAAGCTCTGAGGCTGCAGCCTCCCACATCAATCATTAATCAAGAAAATGTCCCCAGTTTTGCCTACCAGCTAATAGGATGAAGCCCTTTTCTCAGCTGAAGTTCCCTCTCCCAGCTGAAGGTCCCTCTCCCCAGATTCCCTGGCTTGTGTCAAGTTGACCAAAATTATCCAACACAATAACCAACTGCTGAAAACATGATAAAAAACAGGCAGGGTTTAATTTTATCTGGAAATATGGAAGGAAAGACATGAAAGAGTCCTTGGAGGGACAGAGATGGAGACCTTTTAGTACTGGTTGATGAGAAAATATGAGGTGAAAGGGGGAAATGTTTATTTTTTGCTAAAAAAACTTTTGTTATGAAAATTGTAGTGGATGTGAGCTCACTTGAGAACACTTGTAAGATAGTAAATGCTGGTAATGTTAATTTAGAAGACAGTAATGATGATGATTCAGACAAGAAGGGGACTGTTATGAGAGCCACCTCTTGACTGTTATCTCTCAAGAGATAACAACACCCAAACACGGAAAAAGAAATGGCTTTGGCAGCAGTAGAACGAAACTCCTTTGTACTGACAGGGATTGACATTTCTCCTTTTAATTCTGTGGGAACTGGGTAGCTGGCATGGTAGTTCACTTCTAGTTTTTGGATGCTGTAAAAATCAAGATAGTTAACTAACGTGAGGAGAGATGATGAATAAATTTTGAAGATAAAGTTAAACATGCTGCTGTTTGAAAGAGTAGGAAGGAGATTGAAGTGGGGACACTGGAGGTGGGTTGCAACCAGACAGCTCAGAGCTTAGGAAAGTAGTGTGCTATTTCATAGGAAAGGGATTGGATAAGGAGTGTCTAAAATAGCAACTATAACTGATAGCTCCATAGCCCAACACTGTAAATACATCCCTAATGGTGGATGTAATAAGTCAGATAGTTGAGCTTGGGAATTAGGTATAGCTGGGAGACACAGTGGATAAGTGCTTGGCTAGGAAGTGAGAGGGATAAGTTCAGTAGTGAGTGTGTGAAACAGGATGAACCATTTGAAAAGGCGTGATGAATGTCAAGGAAAAAAGAAGTTTGTACTGAAGGCAGACATTGTGTTGGGAATGCATTTACAGCCTACATCTATTCTTTCCTTTTAAGTTTTATTCATTCATGCTATTTCCTTTTCTTTGGGCATTATGGTGGACTCTTCAGTGCTCAGCCAAGGTGATATAACAAGACAGAACTTCACAAAGTGTCTGAGGCATGAATCCAAGATTTTCAGTCAGAAGACTTGAAAGTTCATCCTCACTGACTAGCCTGTGAACCATTATACAGCCTGTTTTCTCTTTGTCTGTTTTCTATTTGCCTCTTTCCTCAATGACAGAATGAAGCAGGTTATATTCGTCAGTCCCCATCCTCGCTCTGTCCCACCAAGCATCATGCTCATAAACTTCCTCTTAGCCAAGATATTCAGTGTTATTCTTTCAGTTACTACTCTTGCTCAATGTTTATAAAACCTCACCGGTTTCCAAGGCTGCCATGGTTGCTACTTACTGTAACACTTTTTTCCATCAGCTCCTAGATCAAAGCCAGGGTGGCAGGCACAGGTGAAGGACCCCTCTGAATTCACACAGCGGTGAGCGCAGGGGGCAGCAAGCCCTTCAGCACACTCATTTATGTCTGCAGGGAGAGATGCACAGCAGCTGCCTTAGCATTTCCAATTAAGACTTACTCGTAAATAATAAAAGTGAGTAAACTGTCCCCTTCCACTTAACCTCTAATTTTCAACATAATAGTAACCATCACAGACTGCATCCACTTAGTGAGAAGGGATTTGTGAGCAAGTCAGCTGCTATGGCTACACATTCTGTGTTAGTCTGATTCTCACTAGTGTTTCCTCATGTCTGCTAGAACCAGCTACTGCTAATTGGGAAAAAAAACTGGATGCAACTACAAATAATGGTTCTAATCCATTCTTCAAAAGCACAAACAGAAGCCATTGTAGTCTGATGTTATGAATTACCATATTCGTGAACAGATATCCCAATTCCATGCCTTTTTATTTACTTTTGATTATACGTGTTAATTACAACAATTCTCCCCACCCGTCCCTCCCTTCAAAGTCTCCCATATACCTTTCCCCACTCTTCTTCAAATCCATGGCCTCTTTCTTCACCAAGTTTTATTGTATGTATTTGTATATACAAGTCTATCCCCAAATACGACCTGTTGCAACTCCCTATTTTAAAGGAGAAGATGCAGCAATGAGCAACTGAGATATGGGGTCTTTCTCATAGCAACCCACACTTGGTTAATGTACATAATCATCACTATTATGACTATGATCAGACATGCCATGTGACGCTGCTACCCTGTCTGTCTCCTGAATGTGATGGTCCCTTTGATTCAGTGTGACTTCAGTTTTGTGGTCCAGGTAACTTCTTCCTTATTTTTGAAGAGGTCTTGTCACGTCTTTTATGACTAGTACATCTTTTTCCTTCACAACTTCCTGGCATTCTCTGATCTCATGTACTGGTAGAGCTCTCAAATATGCAGTAGTGTTATGAGGAGATTTTTAAGATTAATGTATCAGACATTAAAATAGGAGCTTGAGAAATGAAATTTATCTGTTTTTCTATTTATCCTGCTTGTCATTTTTCAAAAAATAATTCTTATCACCTACTGTCCCTTCTGTCAGCTGCCAAGCTAGGTTTCTGGTAAGAAATAAAAACCAGAGATTCAGTTAATGGCTCAGCAGTTAAGAGTACTATCTGCTCTTCTAGAGGAACCAGGTTCAATTCCCATCACCCGTATGCAGCTTACATCCTATATAACTCAAGTTCTAGGGAATATGATGCCCTTTACTGGCCTCTGTGATATTTCATGCACATAGTACACAAACTTTATATATGTAGGCAAAACACCCGTATATATATATAAAATACTAAAACAATAATTAAAAAAGGAATGGAAATCAATGTAGTATATCTTTGCCGGAATAATATGCTTCAAGTCCATAAAAACTCTTTTTATTTCACTTTATTTATTTTGTATGCATGTATGCATATGCTCATGGAGGACTTGTATCAAGGCACACAAGTGGTGGTCACAGGAACATTAGTGGCAGTTGGTTCTATTCTTCTACCATATGGGTCCTCATTTGAATTCAGGTTGCTGGCTTGGGATCAAGTGCCCATACCAGCTAAGCCATTTCACCAGCCCCCATCTCCCCCCAAAAAATTCACACTGATTTTTGTGTCTAGTTTGTATTCAATTTCTCAAAATGTTTATCAGTCCTGTAAGACAAGGAATATTGTGTTGTTTTCATAATTAATCCAAATAAACTGTTTCTCAGTTCATGAAAATGTCATTATAAAAATGAAGGATTCTGTGGTTTCTCGGAAGTTATTAAAACAAAGACTATCCCGCAGGAATTCCTTCATTCTCCATTGGTGCCAGTCATGAAATAATTTGGCCCTTTCATCTTTGAACTGAAGTGTGTCTGCTTTGCTATTTCTGGAAACAGAAATGTGTAACCTTGTGTTTACAGGGTTTCTTTCTCTTCTCATTTTAATTATTCCTAAGTTCTGAGGGCCTCATTTGCACATACTTGCTTTTCAAAGGTTACCCCCACCTCTGTAGTCTATAATCAAAAACTCCCTGTGTGGTTACTGAGGGTTTTGAAATATTAATTTTGGATTTCACTTTTTAAAAAAAGAAACAAAAAACAAAAAGAATTACTTCTGAAAGCACACTAGGTAATTTTTTACAATAAGTAAGAATTTCACTTAGTTTTTCTTTGCAGCATTCTAAATTACTTGCAGCATACTAATTCTTGATCAAGTCAAGAATTAAAGTGTTTCTTTTTAGCATAAATAAAAACACCTTTCTCCTACCTGCTCCAACTGTTCAATCTGACTACAACAGAATTTCAAACAATTACCCAGTTGAGACATCAGTTTCAGCTTCCTACCTTCGCAGGTCTTTTTGTCTTCAGACAGCTGGTACCCAGCATGGCAGGCACACCTGGCCATACCATTCTCACTTTGGCATAGGTGAGCACATCCATTTCCACCTGCACAAGGGTCTGTCTCTGAAAACAATGAAGCAGAGAGAGTTTTCAATTCATTCAGGTTAGAAAGATGTGCAGAGTGGACAGCTGGACAAAGAAAAGTCATGGAGATGTTAGAGTTATTAATTTCCTATTTAAAGAAGTTTAAAGATTCCAGAACTGTGTTTGAAAATTTGCTATGGAACTCATTCAACATACGCTTTTCTGTTTTGTTATCTGAGCCCTAATTCTGGACAAAATAAATAGACAGATCAAGGTCAAAAGGGACTTAACTTTCCTGTTTCCATGTTCATATCTCCTGTTCTCTAATACCTAAGGGAACTGACAACAGTTCCTATGGATGGCTCTGTTAACCTTCTGTACATGGTTTTACACCTGTCAATAGGCAGATGGAGAAACAAAGGGAGGATTCCCAGCTCCAGCCAGTGGGGATGGAAATCTAATCTTTCCTCCCTTTTTAGGACAGGATCTTTGTATGTAACCCAGGCTGGCCTTCAATCCAACCTGACCCTAGCTATGGCTTCAGAGAGCCACGGGTGCAGCCATGTACCACAACAAGTGCTAGTAGTTAACTTTGAAATTCCTAAATGTCCTATAATTACTGTTATCCACGGTTGCATGAGGATTTCTTGTATTGTAGGGACTTCTGAATTGGAGAAGTGTTTGTTTATTCTGTAGTCTTCTTTTTGATAATGTCTTTTCTTGATTTTTAGACAGAGTAATGCCAGTATCACAGAATGTTACTATACATCTGACAAACACTAGAGATTTAGTCTACGTCTATGTTCTTTAAGAGTTTGGTGATTTCTGTTTTGAAGAACTTTGAACATTGATTCAGTTCCTTCATTAGACACAGGGATGTTCAGATTATCTCTTTCTATAAGACCATCAGGTTGTCCTTTCAAAGAATGGATCTAGTTTTAGGTTATACAAACAAATTGATAGAAATAGTGGGAGACTTGGATATTCCTGTGACTGCAATTTACAAGACAAAGTTACAGAAGGGGCTTGGAGTGTCATTCAGTTACAAGTTGTCTGTTAGTATACTTCCAGAGTCCAGAGCTTCCTAAACATTGATCATTTGTTCCCAGCACTGCAAAATAATAAACTGAGAGAAGGTGACAAGACATTAAAATTATGGAGACAAAACTTAACTCTAATGGTGCACCAACTGACTCGTTCATCAGCATTTGAACAGTATACATTCTTTTTTCAGTGCACACAGGGCATGGAAAATGGCAAACAATGACCTGAGTCAAAGTAAGATAGCGAGTGATAAAAAATGACTACAGGGGATTTTTTTGCTATTTTTTTGTTCCTCTGCGAGTGCTGGTTATACGGGTATTAGGCCCACACAGTTGCAGTCAGGTCCTCATGTTTGGTAAGCAAGTACTTTCTCACTGTGTCATCTTCCTAGCCCAAGGCAAATATACACATACATACATACATACATACATACATATAATATGTATAGTATATATAGTATTCATAACATTATATAATTTTGAAAATTTAATTTATTCTTTTTATTTTATATCCCAACCTCAGCTTCCCCTCCTTCCTCTCCTCCTATTCCCTCCCTCTACCTCCCCTCCCATACCTTCAATCCACTCCTCTTCTGTTTCTGTTCAGAAAGGAGTAGTACTCCCATGGGTATCAGCAAAGCATGGCATATCAAGTTGCCATAAGATTTAGCACCTCTTCTTGTGTTAAGGCTAGGCAAGGCAATCCACTCTGGGGAAATAGGTTCCCAAGAGCTGGCAAAAGTGTAAGGGACAGTCCGGTTCCCACTGTTAGAAGTCCCACAAGTGGACCAAGCTACACAATTGTCACATATGTGTAGAGGGCCTTGGTCAGTTCCTAGGCTCCCTGGTTATTGGTTCAGACTCTGTGAGTTTTCTTGTGATGTCCTTGATCTCTCTGGTTCCTACAATACTTCCCTTTCTTTAACAGAGTCCCTCAAGGTCAGCTTAATGTGTGACTGTGGGTTTCCACATATGTTTCCATAAGTTACTTCATGAAGGCCCTCTGATGACAATTGGTGTACATTACAGCTAATATCTACTTAGGAGTGAGAACATACTATGTTTCTGTTTCTGTGTCTGGGTTACCTCACTCAGGATGATTTTTCTAGTTCAATTCATTTGCCTTCAAATTTCCTGATGTCATTGTTTTAAACAGCTGGATAATACTCCATTGTGTGTATATATATCACATTTTCTTTATCCATTCTTTGGCTGAGGACATCATTGTTTCCAGGTTATGACTATGACAAATAATGCTGCTAAGAACATAGTTGAGTAGGTGTCCTTATGGTATAACTAATCATCCTTTGTGTTTATGCCCAAGAGTGGTATAGCTGGGTGTTAAGGTAAATTGATTCCTAATTTCCTGAGAAACCACCATATTGATTTCCAAAGTGACTGTCTAACTTTGCACTTGTGCTATCAATGGGGGAGTGTTTCCCTTACTCCACATCCTTTCTAGATTGAGCTGTCATTTATATTTTTGATCTTAGCCATTATGACAGTTGTAAGATTTGGAATCTCATTTCCCTGATGGCTAAGGATGTTGAACATTTCTTTAAGTGTTTCTCTTCCCTTTGGGATTATTCTGTTGGGAATTCTCTGTTTAGGTATATACCCCATTTTTGAAATTGGATTATTTGGTTTTTTGATGTCTAGTTCAAATATTTTTAAATAATTCAAAACTCCATTGAAATGAACATGAGAAAATTGAAACAGGATTTAGAGAATCTGGAAACTTTATGTATTTTATCAAAAGTTAACACTAACATTTAGAATTTTCAAAAATTAAACAAAGTCAACACAAAATAAATAGAAAATAACTCTGATAATGAAAACAAAAACATTGAAGACACACAATAAAGTATTTTTTTCAAAAGCTAAGTGGCAATGTCAGTACTCTAGCTAAGATGATCGAAATTAAGGCAGGATCACCATCAAGAAAATATGACAATTTATACACATATACCCGACATGTTTGTATGATACAGGCCAAATACTTCCAATAGAACACCCTAATACAATTTACATAAACTGATTTTAAAACCATAGGAAGCATCCGGGCGGTGGTGGCACACGCCTTTAATCCCAGCACTCAGGAGGCAGAGGCAGGCGGATCTCTGTGAGTTCGAGGCCAGGCTGGACCGACAGCCTCCAAAACAATACAGAGAAACCCTGTCTCGTAAAAAAAAAAAAAAAAAACATAAAAAAACATAGGAAGCTTTTCAACTCCATTTCAACTTCAAATTTGTTATCAAATTTGATTTTTTTCCCTCAAGAAATTGTTAGTAAATCATCTCAAACATTTAAACAAAAAACAACTATCCCAATGCTATGAGACCTGCACATATGGAGTAGAAACTTCCCAAGAGAGAAATGTTCTGTAGGCAGCAAACTTGGCAGGGCAGAGCCACCTAAGCCCTGTGACATCACATAAGAAGTTACAGGATTTGAAGTTTGCCCTGTGAGATTTTGTTCTTGCTTTGTTCCAGTATTTATTTCCTAACTATGCCACAATTCCTCCCTTTTGGAACGATAATATATATTCTGTATATTAGAAGTATGTTATTTGTTTTTGATATTTTATAAGAGGTTATAGTTAAGAGATTGCCTTGAATCTCAGAAGAGACTTTGTACTTTAGAAGTGGTCAGACTCAAAAAGAATATGGGGATTTATGAGACTGGACTGAATGCACCTTGCATTATGTTATGACCCCAAGACTATGGGGGCCAGGAGTGGAATGTGGTGCATTGAATGAAAATGGTAGTCATAGGCTTATGTGTTTGAATACTTGGTCCCCAGTTAGTGTCATTCATGATACACATTTAGGGAGCTCAGTGTTTACTTTTTAGGTGACTACAGAGTTCTAAGCAGAGACATAGTAAGAACTTCAGGTTAAGTTTCCAGCTCCTTTAATAAATAATAAAATGATTGCTTTATTTAATTATATATTTAAATACATGTGTATTTTATAAATAAAATGGCATACTCCAAACATATAGTCCTGAAGTAATGATTTTTCCATTTCATTGACTTTGTATTTATGAATTTCTTTGTTATATCTCATGCTTATGTACAGTATTACATTGGATATCCAGAAGAATTTGCTGCTTCTCTTTGACTCCCGATATTACTTTGAGATTGCAAGTAAGAAGGTAAATTGGATGAATGCATTATCAAGAATTGACAAAAAATATTAGTTTAACTGTGTTTCAAGATAATAAATTGCAGCAGGCAGTGGTGGTGCTTGCTTTTTTCCCCAGCACTTGGGAGGCAGAGGCAAGCAGATCTCTTTGAGTTCATGGCTCCCCTGATCTACAAGGCGTGTTCCAGGACAGCCAGGGCTGTTAGACAGAGAAACTCTGTCTCAAAACAAAACAAGAATAACAACAAAAAAGATAATAAATTATAATACTGTAATTTATCTGGAACAGCTCAAACCTTGGTTGGAATGTTTCTCTTTAAATGATGAGATTGTTTGTTTCAGTTTTAGAAGATGTTTAATTGAAAAATGTATTTAATTTCATATATTCCCAATACAAATTAAATCCTATAGTAAGATTTTAACAAGATGCAAACCATAAGATTTTGAGACATTGGCAATGTCATAAAGAAAATACAGAGAGATTTTCTCATATTTGTCTCATGAAAATATCAGTTTGATAAACTATCCATGTGAGAAAATATCTTCAAAAGAGATATGAAATCCAGCTGAGAGATTATACTGTGGGGCAGAAATAAGAAGAGATACATTAAAGGTGGGGAAAGATAGTTTTACATTTCTGTGTTACTCTTTTTACGAGCATCAACAACATGATGGGGAGAGAAATATCTTCTACATGGAGGAAGGAGAGTGAATTGAGTCCATAATGCCACAATAGACACTGGTAAACCAGACATCAAGTTAATCCTTCCCCAGTTCCTAGCTAGCACCCTGAGATAAAGACTCCAGCCTGGCCCTAAGGTTAGAGTGGGCACTGTGACTTTAGGCTTTG